GGGTTGGAATTCCCACCCTGCTGCTCCCTGCGGGATCTGGGATCCCCTGGCTTTGGGAAGGGGGTGTTCCCTGTGCCCCTGGCCCTCCATCCCTTCATCCTCAGCATGGAAGGGGTGGATCCATGGGGGCAGTGGATCCCTGGGATCAGTGGATCCATGTGCTCTTCCCGAGCTCCGCAGAGCACCGGGATTATTTTTTTAGCACCGATTCCTTCTATTTTTATCCCTCCAATTAATTTTTTCCTCCTTTGCGAGGCCACAACCTCCCCTCCTCAGGATTTGGGAATTGCCTCCCTCCAGGAGCTCCCACGTGGGGGAGGGAGGAGAGGCAGGAAAACAGTCCTTGGCTTTTCCAGGAGGAATGTGCTGACTCTGCTCCTCCGGCAGCTCCGGAGGAGGAGGAAAAACTCCCCTGCCTGAAGTGCCAGGCGCCAAAATCCTTTGGGAATCACTCCTGGGAAAGGTTTTCTCAACACTGAGGCCAAACAAAGGCAGAACCTCTGGAATGAACAGGGATTTATGATCCAAGTGGGTTTTTTTTTAGTGGATCGAAGCGCTGGGAAGGGGTGGTGGGTTCCAGAGGGATTCAGCAGCGAAGTCTTGGAGTTTTTCCTTGAAGGGAACGGAGCTGGGAAGGGGCTGGAGCACCAGGAATGGCTGAGGGAGCTGGGGGGGGGCTCATCCTGGAGAAAAAAGAGGGATTGGGAGGGACCTTCTCACTCCCTACAATTCCCTGACAGGAGGAGGGAGACAGGTGGGATTTGGGATCACTTCCAGGGAACAAGGGACAGGACGAGAGGGAACGGCCTCAAGTTGTGCCAGGGGAGGGTCAGGTGGGATATTGGGAAAATTCCTTCCTGGAAAGGGTTGTAAAGCATTGGGAGAGGCTGCCTGGAGTCACCATTCCTGAGGGGAATTATCCCTGTGGATGTGGCACTGGAGGACACGGATCGGGGGTGGCCTTGGAAGCGCTGTGGGAATGTTGGACTCCGTGGGCTCAGAGGGGCTTTCCAACCTCAACGATCCTGGGTTTGTGTTTGGGAATGGCAGGAGGGACGGGACACAGGGAATGGCTTCCCAGGGTTAGATGGGATATTGGGAAGGAATTCTTCCCTGGGAGGGTGGGGAGTGACTGGGATGGAATTCCCAGAAAAGTTGTGGTTGCCCCATCCCTGGAAGTGTCC